CGTGCTCTCTCTTGCTATCTGTCTCTCTCAAATAAGTAAATAAATAAAATATTTTAAAAAAAAGAAAAAAGTTGTATTTTCAGGAAAACATGAGGAGAAGGGAATAAGTATCACTCCCCAACAAAGATGAACTCTAATCTCTTCTCAAAATTCTCCCTCAGCAGAAAGGGGAACCCTCTTACACTGTCGGTGGGAATGCAAGTTGGTACAGCCATTTGGAAAACAGTGTGGAGGTTCCTCAAAAATTTAAAAATAGAGCTACCCTATGACCCAGCAATTGCACTACTGGGTATTTACCCCAAAGACACAGATGTAGTGAAAAGAAGGGCCATATGCACCCCAATGTTCATAGCAGCAATGTCCGCAATAGCCAAACTGTGAAAAGAGCCGAGATGCCCTTCAACAGATGAATGGATAAAGATGTGGTCCATATATACAATGGAATATTACTCAGCCATCAGAAAAGATGAATACCCAACTTTTACATCAACATGGATGGGACTGGAGGAGATTATGCTAAGTGAAATAAGTCAAGCAGAGAAAGTCAATTATCATATGGTTTCACTTATTTGTGGAACATAAGGAATAACATGGAGTATATTAAAAGAAGGAAGGGAAAAATGGGCAGGGGGAATTGGAGGGAGAGATGAACCATGAGAGACTATGGACCTGAGGAACAAACAGGGTTTTAGAGGGGAGGGGGGAGGGGGGATGGGTTAGCCCGGTGATGGGTATTAAGGAGGGAACGTACTACATGGAGCACTGGGTGTTATACGAAAACAATGGATCATGGATCACTACAACAAAAACTAATGATGTATTGTATGGTGACTAAGATAACATAATAAAATAAAATAAAAAAAATTCTCCCTCAGCAAAACTGGGTGAGGCCTGGGGAAAGCTGTGTGTGTGTGTGTGTGTGTGTGTCCCCGTCTGTCCACGTCCCTTTACTGACCACTGCCCAGGTCCACCCACCTTCCTGTCATCTGCTCCCCATCCCTGACTCACTTTCTCCCAGCCACAGCACTCCAGCCCTTCCTCTGGGGACCCATGAACTCTGGTTTTTTTTTCCTTTTGTCTGCCTCCTAGTGTGAGACATAAAATGCCAATTCCCTTTGTTCCCTTTTTATGTGGAAAAGGAAACCCCTATTTTTAACCAGGCACAAGGCTGCATTTTCCAACCTGCTTTGCCACTACGTGTGGCCATGTGATTAAGTTTTGGCCAGTGAGGCGTAAGTAGGTGCGTACAGGCACACGTGGGAGACACAGCCAGGTCAGTTCCAGACCACGGAAACCAAGGGATGATCACAATAAAGCAAGTCAAATACATTTTTTGGTTTCCAGTGCACTTAAAGTTATGTTTATACTATGCTGTAGTCTATTAAGTGTGCAATAGCATTATGTGTAAAAAACCAATATACCTTAATTAAAAAATGCTTTATAGCTAAAAATGCTCACCATCATCTGAGCTTTGAGCAAGTCCTAATCACTGATCACAGATCACCATAACAAATATAATAATAATGAAAAATTGTGAAATATTTCCAGAAATACCAAAATGTGACATAGAGGTATAAAACGAGCAAATAATATTGGGGGAAAATAGCACCAAGAGACTTGCTCAATGTAGGGTTGCCACAAATCTTCCATTTGTAAAAAATGCAGTATCTGTGAAGTGCAATAGAAAAAGGCATGCCCATGTAAGACTTCTGGAAATTGTATCTATAGGGAGATGGCATAGCCTTTTTGTCTTTTTTCCTGATACCTGGAATGTGAACATAATGTCTGAGCCTGAGCAATTATCTTGGACCACGAAGTGGAAGCTGTGCAGTGAAGACAGGCAAGGAGCAAAATAGGAGCCTGGGTACCTAATAAGTTGGTGGAGTCACAATACCAAGCCTTATTGTTCTTTCCCAACTTTGTGTACGTGAAAGAAACAAATTTAGATCTTATTTAAGCCGCTAGTCTTTGGAGGTTTCTGTTACTTAGAGCCAGTCATAGTCCTAACTAACACAAAGTATGTGTGTAGGGATGAGCAGGCTTATGCACACACATGGACATACAAGCAGAGGTGAGCAAGTTTAGAAGGATAGTAGGTGTATGTGTATTCATTCATTTGCCTACTCATATTAATTGAGCACTCATCAAGTGCAAGTCACCATGATAGGACCTATGAGGAAGACAAATCAGAGAGGGACCTTGCTCTCAAGGATTTTTCTAGTTATAGATGGTTCTTAATATTTTCTGGCTTAAAAAGCCCTAGAGAGTGGGGGCGCCTGGGTGGCTCAGTTAAGCGTCTGTCTTTGGCTCGGGTCATTGATCCTAGGGTCCTGGGATCGAACCTCGAACTGGGCTCCCTGCTCAGTGGGGAGCCTGCTTCTCCCTCTCCTGATCCCCCTGCTTGTGCTGTCTCTCTCTCTCTCTAATAAATAAATAAAATCTTTACAACAAAACAAAGAAGCCCCAGAGAATCTAAGGAGGACTTATCAATATTTAAACACACAGGCACACACACACACAAAAACAAAAATAAATACACACATGTACACACATACACACAGAGTATTAACTACAATAACCAGAGTGGAACCTCCCAGAAACACCTGTTCCATCACTTTCCTGAAACAAACCAGCCTGCTTCTGATTCCTGCTAGGGACAGCTGCTGTTTTATGGAGTTCAGCCCACAGCTGAGGAAGATTGAAAGCAGGGCCAATCCAGATCCAGAATACACTGACCTAGGCTGAGAACCTCTGGAGCTGAAATAGCCATGATGATGATATAATTTTGATCACTGAGTGTATTAGTTATCTATTACTGTGCAACAAATTACCCCAAAACTTACTGGCTTACAACAACAAACATTTATTATCTCCTGGTTTTTGAGGGTTAGAAATTCAAGAGTGTGGGGCGCCTGGGTGGCTCAGTCGTTAAGCGTCTGCCTTTGGCTCAGGTCATGGTCCCAGGGTCCTGGGATTGAGCCCCGCATCGGGCTCCTTGCTCAACGGGAAGCCTGCTTCTCCCTCTCCCACTCCCCCTGCTTGTGTTCCCTCTCTGGCTGTGTCTCTCTCTGTCAAATAAATAAATAAAATCTTAAAAAAAAAAAAAAGAAATTCAAGAGTGACTCGGCTGGTTAGTTTTGTCTTCAGGTTGTTCATGAGGTTTTGGCCAAGATGTGTATGAGGGCTAGAGGATCTGCCTGCAAGATGGTTCTCTCACATGACTGTTGGCGGGACGCTTCAGGTCTTTAACCCGTGGGTCTCTCCAGAGAGTTGCTTGAGTGTCCTAACAACATGGTATTTGACTTTCTCAGAATGAGTGAGACAAATGAAGGCAAGGTGGAAGCCACATTATCTTTTATGGCGTAGCCTTGGAAATCACAGTGTCACTTCTACTTAATTTTATTTGTTAAAAGTGAGTTATTGGGGCACCTGGGTGGCTCAGCCAGTTGGGGGTATGACTCTTGATCTCAGCTCAGGTCTTTTTTTTTTTTTTTTTAAAGATTTTTATTTATTTATTTGACAGAGAGAGAGCAAGAGAGGGAACACAAGCAGGGGGAGTGGGAGAGGGAGAAGTAGGCTTCCCACTGAGCAGTGAGCCTGATGTGGGGCTCAATCCCAGGACCCTGGGATCATGACCCGAGCCAAGAGCAGACGCCCAACAACTGAGCCACCCAGGTGCCCCTCAGCTCAGGTCTTGATCTCAGGGATGAGTTCAGGCCCCACGTTGGCTCTATGCTGGGTGTGGAGCCTCCTTAAAAAAAAAAAAAAAAGTGAGTTATTAAGTCCAGCCCACACTCAACAGAAGTGGAATTAACTCTACCTTTTTAGTAGAGGATTGTCAGATAAATTGTGGATATATTTTAAAATCACTACACCAAGAAACCTTCTACCTACTAAAGCAATTTCCAGGTAGTTTGATAGCAGGAAGAGATTGAGAACATTTCAGTCTTGGAAAGACATGTCCCTGGCAGGGTTGAGGTGTTGGGCTACTGTAGCCTGGTTAATGTGAATCAGTCTGCCAGATCCTGCTCAGTTGCAGGTGAACTGACAAAATTAAGATCTTGGCCTTCAACGTTGAGGATCTAAGGGTTTCACTAATCTTTGAGTTGGCAGGGTCTCTGCCCATCCCTGACCCCCACCTTGCTTCCTCTCACCTAGTGCTAAATATATTGTAGGCTCAGCCATTCTCAGTATAACTATATCCAGGGACAGGTCAAAGGGTCTGAAAGGGGGCATCTTAAACATTTCAAGCGGTGGAAACAACTGTGCTTTCCCTCTTTCGGGACAATTATTTTCTACCTTGTATTATAGTCCTGTCTCAACCTCCCTACAAACTGAGTTTGCGGGATTATTTATGTATATAGTCTCCCCAGGAGTTAGCACAGAGCTGGGCAGGAAGGAGGACCATAGAGAATATTTAATGAAAGACTACAAGAATGACTAATTGGTATCCTGTAAGTATTCCTTGATTGACTGGGGTTCAGGGCACTAAAACATCAAAAGAAAGCTTTGCTCCTCCGCCCCCCCCCCCCCCGCAAATAAATATTAGTTTCTTCTCCCTGACAGTCGCTGAGGGTTGAGGGAGCTGCGACTTCAATCAGAAACGCATGTCCCAGGAAGTCCGCAGGTACAGAGTCCGTGCACACCGGCCTGCGTACCTCAAGTCTCCGTCTACTAAGAGGCGGGGCCTTGCCTGCCTCTCTCCCCTCCAACAGGAACCTCACCCGCCCCACCCTCCACCCCTCATCCCTGGCTCGCGGGGCAAGAACCTTCTGCATCCGGCCGGTTCCCGGCCCCGGCCCCAGCCTCCCCCAGCGCCCTGCTTGACCCCGCGCCCTGCTCGACTCAGAGCCCTGTTAGACCCCGGGCCTAATATGCCCTGCGCCCGGCAGGGCTCCGGGACACGGATGTGGGACTACAACTTCCGAAATGCCTCGGGCGCCGCCCGGCCCGAGCGCTCCCCGGCTGCTGACTGGCTGTGCGGCGAGGGCGGGGCCACGGGCTGGTGCTGTCTGCACGTGCGCGCGACGGGCGGCTGAATGGCTGTTCTCCACTACCTCGCGGCGGTCCGTGCGGCGCGGGGGCTCTGGTGGCGGGCAGCGCGCGCGTCGTTGGGGCTCCCGGGGCCTTGCCCTGGGAGAGGCTACTCTGTGGACGCCGCACAGGTGAGAACGCCGGAGTTCCTGCCGAGCAGGTCCTCAGGGCTGGGGGTGGGGCCGGAGCCGTGGGGAGGGAGGGGCCGCGGGCCGGGTTGCTCCTGGAACAGGCTACTGATCTCAAGTGCGCTTCGTTCTTGCCCTGAGCACGAGTGTCCCTAGCACGCCCTGCCTCCCCCTCAGTCAGGGAGTTTGTCATGCCTTCGGCCTGGATGAAAAGTTACTTCAGCTAGAGAATGAACAAAACAAGCCCAAAACGCGCACCAGGATTTCTTCGCCGCTCGCTGTTTTTCGTCTCCAAAGTTACTCCGCAGTTTCTGAGTTCCTATTTTCCCGGTCAGGGTATGATTCCTGCACTTCCTCTGTGATTTTTCAGGATGAGAGTCTTTCGGTTTTGATTTTCAACTACATTTTTTTTTTCAGATTTTATTTATTTATTTGACAAATAGAGACACAGCGAGAGAGGGAACACAAGCAGGGGGAGTGGGAGAGGAAGAAGTAGGCTCCCCGCCGAGCAGGGAGCCCGATGTGGGGCTCGATCCCAGGACCCTGGGATCGTGAGCTGAGCCAAAGGCAGACGCTTAACGACTGAGCCACCCAGGCGCCCCTGATTTTCAGCTACATTTGAAAGAAATTTGGAGATTCGCGATGGACTGCACCTATAAATAAAAGAGATGAAAGTGGGTTTTGTGCGGGCTTTTTATTTTGGTCCCATTCGCTTGTGAGCCTTACTCATAATGAGCAGCTGTTACGTGGAAGATCTGGGGGGCGAGAGGAAGAGAACTGGCGCAGGGTCCCTAATTTGTGCCAGGTACTTAAGTGATGATAATTCTCTCAGCAACTTTGGAGGTAGATTTAACCCTGTAGTAAGGAAGCTGAAGCTTGGAGTCAAGTTTTTAAGTACTTTCTTTGTAAGGTCAAACAGTGGGGGGACGACTGTGCCAGCACTCTAAACCAGGTGGGCAAATCTGTTACCCTCACTTTCCTCTGGGCCATTTGTCTTTTTTTTTTCTAAAATCAATTTCTGTATGTAATAATAGTACATTTTTATAGTGCTTTCACAGTAACCCTTTGATAACTTTAAATACTTATTTTTAAAAACACATAAGCACTTACTTTGTGCCAGACACTTCACAATTATTATTATTATTTTTAAAATCTTTTATTTATTTGACAGAGAGAGACACAGCGAGAGAGGGAATACAAGCAGGGGGAGTGGGAGAGGGAGAAGCAGGCTTCCCGCGGAGCAGGGAGCCTGATGCGGGGCTCCATCCCAGACCCTGGGATCATGACCTGAGCCGAAGGCAGACGCTTAACAACTGAGCCACCCAGGCGCCCCGACACTTCACAATTATTAATTTGTACACTTTTCATAACAACTCTATGAAGTAGGTACTGTTATTCCATTTTACAGATGGAGGAACTGAAGCACAGAGAGGTTAAGCAGCTTTCCCAAGGGCATACAGCTGGTCAGTGGTAGAATCCTGGAATCCAGGGCAGTCTGGTGCTAGAGTTCTAGCTCTTAACAGCTTTGTTATCACTTGTTACCATTTTGGATATGGAGCAGCTAAGAGTCAAAGAAGTTAAGTGACTTGACCAGTGTCACAGAGCTAAAAGTGGCCACACTGGAAGCATGGAATGAAAATATGTTGTGGAAAGGACTTTGCTGTCATTTATAACTATTGTATTGACTTTAGCATTTTTGCAGGTCCTGAGATATTTCCAAGTGACTTTTTTTTTTAAGATTTTATTTATTTATTTGTCACAGAGAGAGAGAGAGTGAGAGAGCACAAGCGGGGGGGAGCGGCAGGCAGAGGGAGAAGTAGGCTCCCTGGCGAGAAAGGTGCCCGATGCGGGACTCGATTCCAGGGCCCTGGGATCATGACCTGAGCCAAAGGCAGATGCTTAACCGACTGAGCCACGCAGGCGCCCCACCAAGTGACTTTCTGATAGAATAGGAAAAGGGAAGAAAGGGATGTAGCATAGCACAGCATTTCAGAGTACTAGCTTTTTATTTTTTATTATTATGTTATGTTAATCACCATACATTACATCATTAGTTTTTGATGTAGTGTTCCATGATTCATTATTTGCGTATAACACCCAGTGCTCCATACAGAATGGGCCCTCTTTAATACCCATCACCAGGCTAACGCATACTCCCACTCCCTTCCCCTCTAGAACCCTTAGTTTGTTTTTCAGAGTCCATCGTCTCTTATGGTTCATCTCCAGAGTACTAGCTTTAGAACTGAATCCTACCTGTCCTGTTTGACTTAAGGCAAATTACTTTGCTTTCTAAGCTTCAATTTCTCCATCTATGTATTGAGGATATTACTTACTGTGCAGTGTTTTTGTGAGAATATCTGTAGGGTACTTTTTGTGATATATGTAGGCTACTTTGCACAGTGACTAGCACATAGTAAGTTCTCTTAAATGTGGAAGTGGATGGAGTAGACAGTAAAGTAGACAATAGTTCTAATGCTGTTGTTGAAAACCTACCAAACTAATTACAATTAAGAAGCAAAAACACAAAGGAACATCTTAGTAGTCCTTTCACTTCAAACTAATCTTTTTTTTTTTAATTTTTAATTTTATTTATTAGAGAGAGAGAGAGAGAGAGAGAGACAGCATGAGAGGGGAGAGGGTCAGAGGGAGAAGCAGGCTCCCCACTGAGCTGGGAGCCCGATGTGGGACTCGATCCCAGGATCCTGGGATCATGACTTGAGCCGAAGGCAGTCACTTAACCAACTGAGCCACCCAGGTGCCCCCACTTCAAACTAATCTTAAAATCACACATTTTGGGGCGCGTGGGTGGCTCAGATGGTTAAGCGTCTGCCTTCGGCTCAGGTCATGATCCCAGCGTCCTGGGATCGAGCCCCGCATTGGGCTTCCTGCTCAGCGGGGAGCCTGCTTCTCCCTCTCCCTCTGCCTCTCTCCCTGCTCATGCTCTCTCCCTCTCTCTCTCTCTCTTTGTATCTCTGTGTCTTAAATGAATAAAAAAAAAAAAAATCACACATTTTATCACTGCCATTGATAGGAACTTTACTTAGAAGATCTGGCTTAATACCCAGGATGAGGTTTTTAAAAATCCAAGTGATGAAGAAAAATCAGAATACAGATACAGAAGAGAATGAAAAGAAAAATGAAAAAAAAAAGAAGAGAAAAAGACTCTTTCTCTTTGTCTAGATACCTTCACTTAAAAAAATTAATAAACTTTATTTTTTAGAGCATTGTTAAAGACAGATTGAAGAGAAAGTATAGAGAAATCCTATATATACGCCCTCTCCCCCCAGTTTCCTGTATTACTAATATCTTGGTGGTAGTGTGGCACATTTATTACAGTTGACTTGCATCTTTACTTTCTTGTTGCTGGGTGCCTGATTTCTCTATATGCATTCACCTGAGGATTGGAGGTATATGATTACTCATTTATATAGTTAAAGATGAGGGAGCCTTAAGGTTATTGCTAAGTTGTCCTGAAAACCTTCATGTTTTAAGTAGCAGGGGCTGTGGATTCTTATTTCTTTTCTTTTCTTTTTTTTTTAAAGATTTTATTTATTTATTTGAGAGAGAATGAGAGACAGCACGAGAGGGAAGAGGGCAGAGGGAGAAGCAGACCCCCTGCTGAGCAGGGAGCCCGATGCGGGACTCGATCCCGGGACTCCAGGATCATGACCTGAGCCGAAGGCAGTCGCTTAACCAACTGAGCCACCCAGGTGCCCCTGTGGATTCTTATTTCTAAGAGAGCAAATTTTGTGACTATTTAGGACATGGCCACTAAGACCATTAAAACTGTATGGTTAAATTTTGTAGCCATCAGCACAAATGAGACATCTTATTTTTTAAAACTATGCTAAGTTTTCAAAAATCCAAAAACAGAATAATATTATGAATCCAGATTCACCAGTTATTGACATTTTGCCACACTTGCTTTGCTTGTCTCTCTCCCCCCCCCTTTTTTTCCCAGCTGTAAGATTTTAAAATGAATGGCAGATTTCTTGTCACTTAACCCCTAAATTCTTCTATATGTACCTCTAAGAAAAATGACATTTTAAACATAACTACAATGCTGTTGTCATACCTAACATTAGTAATCCCTTAATATAACTTAAAATCCTGTCCTTAAAATGTCCCTGAGTGTCTCAAAATTATGGGTATATGAGTTTTACATGTAAGCTTTCAGAACAGTGTGCTGTGTGTTCGTGTAGTACAAGAAAGAAGGCAGACCATGCTCTAGAACAACATAATCCTTACCTCCAGAGGGACCTGTTTTCTAAGAGTCACCAACTGTTTTCCCTTGGGAAGGGATTTGGTGGTCAGGAAGTGCCTGAGGGGAAAGGTCGCCCTTACCTGAGGGCTGAGCTTTCATCCTATGGGTCCTTCAACATTCAGTCAACCTTTGTTGAGTACCTACGGGAGTTTAAGCACTGTGCCAGGGGTGGGAAAATCATACCCCTCCTCCCTCTGGACCTGTGCAGTTATTCTCTTTGAGAAGAATAAAATGATAAAATCAGAAAAGAGCCATAGATCCTTTCCCCAGGAAAAATGCACATAGAGTTTTAAGGGGTTTTATAGCCACTCTGAAATCTATCCATGGGCCCCTGGTTAGGACCCCCATTCTAGTGGGGTTTGTTGAGGAAGAGGGAGGGGCTCCAGAGAACCTTGAGGACCATCTGGTGAATGAGCACACTGAGAAGAACACAAACTCACATGGCTGGGGCCTGGCAGGAGGTGCGGCAACAGCATGTTCCAACATAGATCTCTTGGTACCTCTTGAATCCCTTCCTTACTCTGAGGTGCTTGCTGCCCTGGGGGGCCACTGAATGAGCTCTGACTTTGCCACAGCTCAGTTTAAGGCTGACATCTGGATGGAGCACTTGTGAACAGATCACCTTTGACTAGTTCTTCTCTCTGAATTTGGTTTCTTATTCATCCAGTCAGATTATCCAGTGAATCCATATTGCACATTATGTATAAACCAGGCCCCTTTTGCCAGGTAATGTCAGTTGGAGATAATGACACCCACCCCCAGAGGGTTGGTACAAGGATTAAGTAAGCATACTTTTGTTATATGTCCAGCTCAGAGCTCAGTACAGTCTACCCATCTACTCAGATCCAGTGCAACAGGATCAGCCTTTGGAGCCAAGAGTAGAGACACTGTTTAGTTATTTCCCTTCAGCATGTGGGATTTGACAAGTTTCTCCCTGGCAGTTGTGTTTGCTGGTGGTCAGAATTTCTGTCTTGCTGATTTGAGTTGCTTTCCCTTCTATTTTTCCAGGGCCCCTTCCCACCTCTGACTTGGCGCCAAAGCTGCCATTGTCGAAAGCTGAAAGGTCCTGTGCACAAGCTAGCATGAAGGAGCTGGAAGACTGCCTCCCTGGGGGGGAGGGCCCTGTCAGCGGAGGGGAGATGGGATCATTACTCTACAGTCACTCCATTCCTAATTTACTTGTTCCAGAAACTTATCCCTCAGCTTCCTTGACCCCACACCCTCTTGATTTTCCTCCTCATACTGACTGTTGCTCCTCGTTCTTTTGCTGGTGACTCTTAGGTGGCCGTTCCTTAAATGGTGATGTTCTTCCAGTTCTTGCTTCTGCTCTTACTCTGCTTGTGCTTCTCAGGCTCTTCTCTTCCTTCCCAAGTTTCAGCTATTCTCTAAGAGCAGAGAGCTTCTGAATTTTCATCTCTAGGACCTTCTGTTCAGTGCTGATGTCTCCACTTGTATGTCTGACAGGTCCAAAGTGGGATATATCTTCTGCCCTCTCTGACCTCCCAGCTGCTGCCCCTCTAGAGTTTCTTGGGTCAGTGAGTAATACCAGCATCCACCCTCCCAGGGTCCCAAGCCAAAAAAAAAAAAAAAAGGTATGGGGGTCCCTGTGGCCCCTCCCTCCCTCGGCCCTGCATCCTGTTGTTACCAGGTCCTGGCTGTTCTGCTTCTGTGTATAACCTGCCCCCTTCTTACCATTCTTGTTGCCATTACCTAGTAAGACTTAGTTAAAGCCACCATCATCTCTGTCTTAGATTGTAGTTGGTCCCAACTGGTCTTCAACTTGACTCTTCAGTTCACTCAATCTTGACTTTGCAGCCAAGATTTTTCTACAGTGCAGGTCTGATATGATGTCACTCTCCTGTTTCAAACTCCTTAAATTGGCCTATGAGACCTAGGATGGCTAGTCTTCGCCACCTCCTACAGGTTAGGTACCCCTCATTAAAGCTCTTAGGGTGCCTTACTTCCCCTCATCTCCTACTGTAGCACTCAGTGCAGACTGTCCTGTGGCTGCTTATTTGTCTTCCCCATTGATCTGTGTAGATGGAGGCTACTTCTGGCTGCTTGTCTGGTCTGGTGCTCATCAGGCTCGCAATAGATACTTGTTAAATGAAGGCATGTATTTAACTCTTCCATTGCCTAGCTCAAAATTCTCTTCTAAGAAACTACTTTTGTTTAATTCTGTTTATTTACTGAGAGTTCAAGTACTCAGAAATTGATTTGCACTTGTGAAAATGCTGCAGTTTTGTGGGTCTAATTGTTTCTTAGACTGGTTGCTTTTTCTTTGACCCCAGCTGAAAAATGCAGGGCCTGGAGCACTTGCTCCTCACAGACAGAGCCCTATGAAGAGAGTAGGTGTATGCAGTAACAATGGCTTGACCTATTGGGCACCAACAAAAGGAAAATAACAAACAGGTTAGGTTGAATTGTTTTGAAATTTGAAAAAAATCTTACATGTTAGTAAGAATTGGAATGAATTTTTTAATTGTATTTTTTTTTTTTAAAGATTTTATTTATTTATTTGAGAGAGAGAGACTGAGATAGAGAGAGCACGAGAGGGAAGAGGGTCAGAGGGAGAAGCAGACCCCCTGCTGAGCAGGGAGCCCGATGCGGGACTCGATCCCGGGACTCCAGGATCATGACCTGAGCCGAAGGCAGTCGCTCAACCAACTGAGCCACCCAGGCGCCCTTTTATTTGTATTTATTTTTAAACTTTTTTTTCTAAAGATTTCTTTTATTTGAGAGGGGGGGGTGAGGGCAGGGGGAGGGAAAGGAGGGAGAGGGACAGAGAGAATCTCTAGCAGACTCCCCACTGACTGCGGAGTGAAACCAAAAGCCAGATGCTTATCTGACTGAGCCACCCAGGTACCCTAAACTTTTTTTTTCAAATTTTTATTAATCAAGTAATCTCTTCCCCCAACATGGGGCTTGAACTCACCACCCCAAGATCAAGAGTTGCTTGCTCTTGACTGAGTAAGACTGAACCGGCCATGTGCCCCTGGAATGAATTTGTTTTATAAAAAGGACGGTGTTTAGGGGCATCTGGGTGGCTCAGTCCGTTAAGTGTCTGCTTTCAGCTCAGGTCGTGATCTCAGGGTCCTGGGATTGAGCCCTGTATCAGGCTCCCTGGGAGTCCTGCTTCTCCCTCTCCCTTTGCCCCTCCCCCCGCTCATGTACTTGCTTGCTCTCTCTCAAATAAATAAATAAAATCTTTTTTTTTTTTTTAAAAAAGGACAGTGTTTAGGGATGCCTGGGTGGCTCAGTTGTTAAGCATCTGCCTTTGGCTCAGGTCATGATCCCAGGGTCCTGGGATCAAGCCCCATGTTGGGCTCCCAGTTCTGCGGGAAGCCTGCTTCTCCCTCTCCCAATCCCCTGCTTGTGTTCCCTCTCTTTCTGTGTGTCTCTCTGTCAAATAATAAAATCTTTAAAAAAAAAAAAAAAGGCACCTGGGTGGCTCAGTTGGTCAAGTGACTGCCTTCGGCTTGGGTCATGATCCTGGGGTCCTGGGATCGAGTCCCACATCGGGCTCCCCCTGCTCTGCAGGGAGCCTGCTTCTCCCTCTGCCTCTGCCTGCCACTCCCCCTGCTTGTGCTCTCTCTGACAAATAAATAAATAAAATCTTTTTTAAAAAAAAGACAGTGTTTAGAGTGCCTGGCAGGCTTAGTGGAGCATGCAATTCTTGATCTTGGGGTCATGAGTTTGAGCCCCATGTTGGGGGAAGAGGTTACTAAAAAAAAACACAAAACTTAAAAAAAAGGACAGTTTTCAACTTTATAAGTCCCAAGAAATGCAGAGTGAAATGAGATACCACTTTTTTTCTTTTTAAAGATTTTATTTATTTATTTGACAGAGAGAGACACAGCGACAGAGGGAACACAAGCGGGGGAGTGGGAGAGGGAGAAGCAGGCTTCCTGCTGAGCAGGGAGCCCGATGTGGGGGCTCGATTCCAGGACCCTGGGATCATGACCTGAGCCGAAGGCAGACACCCAATGACTGAGCCACCCAGGCGCCCTGAGATACCATTTTTTTAAACCTTTAAATTAACAAGATGTTTGATAATTAACAAACTCTTTGATACATGTGAAAATCAGTATGGGCAAGGATAAAGTGTGTTAACAGTGGCCGTGTAAATTGGTACATGTTTTTGGAAAACAGTTTGTCAAAAGGTGTTATATTATTAAAATGTTTGCACTCTCTTGTCTTGTTACTCCTGCTTTTAAGAATCTAGCTTAAGGGAAAAATCAGTAAGCATGAAGAAGTTCCTTATAGCATTATTTATAGTAGTAAAAATGTAGGAAAATGTAAGTGTCCAAAATAGGGGAAATATAATGTTAGTGGAATATTCACTCAGAAATATGTAGTCAGAAATGATGTTTAGAAAGAGCTCTGTATATTGATATGGAAAGATAACTAAGAGATACTATCTTAAAAAAGGTCAGATGGAAAAGAAAGTATAATATAATACTGTTTGTGTGTTAGTTAACAGATAAAAATTATTACTATCTATCCACACAGTTTCTGGAGATCTGTAAGAGAGGAAATAGCACTGGGTGGAAGGAGGCAAGAAATTTAAATTTTTTTTAATATTATCTGTAGCAAATGAGTTTTTTTCTTAAAACTCCGTGTGTGTTGTTGGAATAAAACTGTGAAAGATTATGAAGGCTGTTGTAACATAAAAATATATGAATGTCAAACAACAAGATGAGAAAGTGAACATGTAAGGTGTAGTTGTCTACGTGACAAAAGAATAGAAAAAGAAGAAACAACATCAGTCATGTTAACGTCCTGGGATGTTTCTGAATTTCTCTACTTCCCATTTAAAAAATTCTTTTATATTAATTATGTGAAGATAGTTTTAACCAAATAGTTACATGCTTAAAAATACATGAAGAGGGACTAATTCTTTGTTATAGATGGATTTGCCCTATCAGAAATCCCATGTCCTCATTTTCTGTTCAAAGCTCTGGGTGACCTGGGGATAATGTGGCACCCCTTGTTGTGAGGGTCTTTTCCTTCTTCCCCTTTGCCTCTTGAATCAGGCTGTGGGGATTCTCTTCCTTCTGTGCAGAGCCCACCCACTTTTGGGTTCCTGTTGGACATTGATGGAGTGCTGGTGCGGGGTCACAGAGTGATCCCTGCTGCTCTGGAAGCGTTCCGCAGGCTGGTGAATGCTCATGGGCAGCTGCGGGTGCCTGTGGTCTTTGTCACGAATGCTGGGAACATCTTACAACACAGCAAAGCTCAGGAGCTGTCAGCCCTGCTGGGGTTCAAGGTAAGGAGGCACCAGAGAAATGGGAGCCCAAAGAGCTGGTTGCCAGTGGAACGCCCATTCCAACTCTGACTAAGCTGCCTTTCCTGGGTTGGGGTACAGTGTTGATAAGCCTTAGGGCATGGCCTGCTGGGTCAGTAGTAGAAAATAACTCAAAGCTCAAGCCTAGCCTCATGAGTAGAGTCTTACAGCAGGAGCATTTTTTATGTATCACTTCACCTCAAGCACAAAAATTCTGCCCATGGATTTGGCAGTATCAATCTGCTCTCTTTGTATCCATTTCTTTTCTGGGCATCAGGGTTGTCTCTTTTGGATCGTCGGTCCCTGGAAAGTGAGGGTCACATTTTTCTCTATATCTATATACCTGGTGGGACTCTGAGATAATAGCCTTTGTTTCTCATAAATAAGAGGTACATATCTGAATGAGCATTGTCCCTGAAAAGCAGTCCCTCTTCACCCACTTGCAGTTCCATGTGGTATATCAGCGTTGACACGTCCTTCTTTATTAAGGGGGATTGAGTTCTTCGAAAGAGCCCTTTGGAACCAGAAGAGTAAATAAAGTAGCTGATTGACTGGGTAACACTGCTTGGGGGTGAATGCAGAACAAAGGTGTACAACTGGTTCCTTTCTATGGTTTCCGAAGAGGGTTCCAAAAACATTTTGAGTATTGGCTGCATCGTTGGAATTAGTACTATAAATGTTAAAAAGCTAAGTCTTTTTTTTTTTTTTTTTTAAAGATTTTATTTATTTGAGAGAGAGACACAGTGAGAGAGGGAACACAAGCAGGGGGAGTGGGAGAGGGAGAAGCAGGCTTCCTGCCGAGCAGGGAGCCCGATGTGGGGCTTGATCCCAGGACCCTGGGATCATGACCTGAGCTGAAGGCAGACCCTTAACGACTGAGCCACCCAGGCGCACCCCTCCCACCCCCCAGCCAAAAGCTAAGTCTTTAAGTAGAATTGAAAACAGAAAGTCAGAGGCATATTTCTGTGACTGACAAAGAACATGCCCATAAACCCTGAGGTCTCCAGATAGAAGAACTGAGCAGAATAGGATTGGTGAATGGTCAGAACCCACGACTGATGGCATTTCCTGCTTGTTCGTTTTTTGTGACAAGAGCCAAATTAGACAGGTTCTTCTCACACCTGTTTGGGTAGTGTCTAGAAGTGTTGGGTGCCAGAAAGGGCTCCCCACTTTTTTTTCTGGGCAGTTTTTCCCTTCCTAAGTGAAAGAAGCCACCCGTCTCCCCATTATTTTCCATCAACTTTGTGTCTCCTCTGTTTTCTTCTGTCTTTTGACGTCCCTACAGGTGGAGCCGGACCAAGTCATTCTTTCTCACAGTCCCATGAAGCTTTTCTCACAATATCACAACAAGCGGATGCTGGTGTCTGGGCAGGGGCCCCTGGTGGAAAATGCCCGAGTGTATCCTTTCGGTGCTGCTTGTTCTGGCTGAAGAGGAGGGGGCAGGGCTGGAGTTTTTCTCCCATGGCTGGGGGTGTGTGGACAGGGCCATAATGAAGTGTGCTGGCTGCACAGTGCCAGGGCTTAAGGGATACATAGTGGGCTCTCTCGAGGGAGGGACTGGCTCCCAGGTATGGCCAGTCCTGGTGCCAGAGTTTCCAAAAAGTCAGCCCACTGAATCAGAACCTCCTGGGGAGCTTAAATTACAGATTCTTGGTTCACTAGGTCTGAGAGAAAAATCAGCAGTCTGTATGTTAGAAGACTAGGGGATTCTCTAATTAGGTTTGGAACCACTGCTCTAGCACTGTTGCTCAGCGTGCTCAATCAACTTCTCAGCTAATATTAAGTATCCACAGTGAACCTGTGGGTCTGTGCACACTCAAGAGGCAGAAGAGTTGTTGCTTGTTCTCAAGTAGCACATTCATTTGCTCATTTGGCAGACCTGTGTTGAGCACTTCCTGGGAACCAGCCCCATGCTGCACATTCTTTAGGGGCGATGGGGACCAAGAACAGCACGTGGGACTCTGTCTTCATCAAAGGGTTCATATGAGAGGGAGGAGTAACACACCCACAAAGGATAAAGGAGTATTTAAGATGGCATATGATTGGGGTGCCTGAATGGCGCAGTCGATAAAGGTCCGACTCTTGATTTCGGCTCAGGTCGGGATCTCAGGGTCATGAGATTGAGCCTCGCATTGGGCTCCATGCTGGGTACAAAGTCTGCTTAAGAGTTTCTCTCTCCCCTGTCCCTCTGCAACCCCCTCCACTCTCTCTCTAAGAAAAAAGCGGATTCCCAAGCCTAGACATCAAGCCCAGCAGGGATCTGCATTTAAAAAAAAAACAAACATGGCATATGACTGAAAACTTAGAAGCACAGTATAGGTTCTGAGAGTCCCAGGTATTGGGGAGGGAACACTCTGGGAGCGGCTGTGACTGGTGGCGTCATGGAGTGGTGTGGCTCAGAGATGGTTATGGTTAAGGTTTTCTGTGCAGGGAAGGAGCTAAGGAGGCTGGAGAGAGAAGGGAAGGTGAGGATCCCTGAAGCAGGAGTTTGGATTGGGATAGGGTGGGGAATAAGAGAACAGGAGGAGTGGCACCTCGGAAGGGAGGGCAGGAGGCCAGTGAGCTTACTTATGAGGGCACGGGGAATCTTTGCAGGTTCTGTTGCTATTGGGTGATCTGACAAAAGCAGCATTTTCAGGAGATTAATTTTGAAAGTAATTTGAAACCATGTCCAGTTAAGATTGTTAAGTGGGAATTGAGGACAAAAATGGAGGCAGGTCTTGGAGAGATAAGGTTGGCACTGGCTTTCTGCTCTTCATGGCCTCCCCATCCTGTCTGAATCTGGCTCATCTTCAAGAGTTAACTCAAGTCTGACTTCCCTGGACTCTGCCCAGCTACCAGCCCAGTGACAAATCTCCTCTTTTCAACTCCTCAAAACCAGCACTGTTCACAGATTGCTGGTTTAGATGGGCCCTGGGCATGTGGCGAGCTCCTTGAGGCCAGACATTCTTGCGTGCCTTTGTGCCCTGGTAGTGCCCAGCGTGGGACCTGGCACCCTGCTGCTGCGTCACTGTGGCAGGGTGCATCCCTACTATGCCTGTGTTGTCATGGCCCCTTTGCCAGCACGTTCAGGATTGGTGTCGGCCTTCCGGGCTGTGTCTGGGCTCTCACTGCTTCACTCCTGTCCGGGGATTGGGTGCACTAGTTTGGTTGGGACTGTGTTGGTTCCCCTCACCTTAAAGGCATCTTCCCCCAGAACTGTCCAACTTTGCTTCCCTGACCTTGCTGTAGACTGGGCTTCGAGAATGTGGTTACTGTGGATGAGTTGCGGATGGCCTTTCCTGTGCTTGACATGGTGGATCTCCAGCGGCGGCCGAAGACCACGGTAATAAGGCTCATGCTCCTGGGTGTCTCATGTTTAGTTTTGTCCTCTTGTTTCCCATGTGGGTTCCTCTTACTAGCCTTGCAACCCCTCCCACTGAGAGCTGCATCTTGTCCACCTTAGAGAGGCACATCTGGCCAAGGATTTTGTTCTCCAGATATACAAGGATGGCCAGAGGAGCAACAAGCTCCTGAGGGCTTTCCTTTTTGCCTTGTTTGTAATTAGCTGAGAACTCCTTTCAAAGCCCTAGCATCTCCAATGAGGAGTTTTCTCCTTTACCAGCTGGTTTTCTGAGTGTTGCTTGGGAAAATCATTAACCTTAGTGAAATTAATCATTGCTGCTCCTTTATCCTGAAGCTTGCTATGGAGAGCTGTCCTTATGAGAAACAGCTTGCTTATAAAAGTAACTGGCAATTTTGAGTATGCCCATGTTCCTTTTGGGTTTGGCTCATATTTGAACCACTGGTTTGATGTCTTATCTCTTCTGATCACTAGTCACAGGGTCTCTCATTAATCCTTTAGAGTATGACTTCTTGGCTCTTGATGGCTCCTTCCTTGCCTCCCCTCTTCCTCATGTGAACTCTCTATCACCATGGCCTGCAGTCTAAGTCAGACCAGTCAAAATGCAGGGAAATGCAGTTATAAACATACAAGCTTACCTTTGTTTGTTTATGTAGCCTTAGTCCTCCTTCCTCTAGAGCTTCCCAGTTGAACAGAGCACTTCTTCGCCTTCAAAAGCCTCCTCCTAGGACCATGCAAATTATGTGGCGAACCAGAATGTCCGAGTTGGAACAGCTCTTAGGGCAGCTCAGAGAGCTATGTGACCTACTGCAGGTCACATAGCTGGTTAGTGGTAGAGCCAAGACTAATGGTTTAGGGAAGGAACAGACCCCAGAGGATTGGTAAAGTGGAGGCTCCTGCCTCTTCATATCATATCAAGAGAAATGGTCCATCGTGCCTTGGTGACCTCCCTTTTCTCCATAGGCTCACCTTCATCTTAGCTACCTGATTCTAGACTCTTGCTTGTTCCATATCTCACATCCTGTCTTCACTGGAGAGGGACAGCTGACCAGACCTTTCTCTTGGCTGACCTCCATATGTGGCTTCCCTCAGCGTGTTCTGTGAGAGTCCTGCTCATTCTCTCTTCACTTTTCTTTCCTTTTTTTTAAGACTTTATTTGATGGAGAGAGAGAGCACAAGCAGGGGGAGCAGCAAAGGGAGAGGAAGAAGCAGGCTCCCCACTGAGCAGGGAACCTGACATGAGGCTCGATCCCAGGACCCTGGGACCATGACCCTAGCCAAAGGCAGAAGTCCAACCAGCTGAGCCACCCAGGCGCCCCTCTCTTCACTTTTCTTTGTGAATTTTCTTCCTCAGTCCTATCCAGCTTCTCCTTGGCTTGGGCTAGATCATGGGGGTGGTCTTTGATCTCTCTAGAATGTGTCTTTTCTATTGCCACTTGTTATGATGTAGTTGTGTGGTTGTCTGGTAGTGGACAGTGACTGTGGCATTGACGGGCATTTTCTTTGTTTCTTGGCAGCCCCTTCCAAGGAACGACTTCCCTGCCATTGAAGGTAATGAGGGCCTCTGCTGGTGTAGGTGTGGCTCTGGGCAGTTCTCCTTTTGGTCCTCCAGGCTGTTCTCTTGCAGCTGTTTGCCTGTAGACTGGTAGGGTGGCTGCAGGCATTGGATATCTGGTCACCTGGGTTCCAGTCTCAGATCTGCCCCTCACTACCTCTGAGACATTGGTTTTTAATCTTTCCTTCCCCGTATCACTTGCTCTGTTATTCCAGAGAAATTGTTTTTATTTATTTATTTTTTAATGATTTTTTTTTTAAGGTTTTATTTATTTTATTTCAGAGAGAGAGTGAGAGAGAGAGAGAGCACAAGGGGGGGGGAGTGGGAGCGGGAAAAGCAGGCTCCCTGCTCAGCAGGGAGCCCGATGCAGGACTCGATCCCAGGACCCAAGACCTGAGCTGAAGGCAGACACTTAATGACTGAGCCACCCAGGTATCCCCAGAAAAATTGTTAAGTGTAGAAAATCTTAGCATGGAAAGGCTCCCAGAGGTAATATAGGCCAGCATTTCTCAGCTCCATTAAACCCAGTTCCCCCTCGTGTAACAAAAATACCGTAATGTCCCCTTAACTGCCCTGCAATGAAATTCATAGATAATACAACTGTCCTGTATATGTATATTAAAAATTTACTAGTTCAGTATAAAGCTCTAATTGTAATAGGGAGAAATAAAAGGAAAATTTTTAGTAAGGTAATGTGTATTTCAATATGTAAATAATTATTCAGGAAGATATAATGAAGTAGTAAAATGATTATACCAAACATGGAATCACCGTGAATGTTACAGCTACAAATGCAGACTGATGTAAGTGTGTTTATAGGTGTGATATAGGTGTATTTTATTTATTGGTGACTCAGAAATTAGGGGCTGCATTGTCATTGGTAAAGTGATTTTCCAATATAAGGAACAACTATTGGTAAACTTTTGAAAAGATAAAGTACAGTCTTCTCTTGACTTACATGATAGTTGCATTTTTAGAAAATTGGTGTTTATTAAAACCTTTTTGTTTACATGTAGAATGAAATTAGGGCTTAGGCTCAATTACTTATAAGCAGGTTATTCACCCATGTGAAGGTCAGATGGGGTACTCAAATGTTAATAGACAGGGGGCAGTTTCTGATTGTTCGGGACTGTCCTGAGCATCTAGCATTCGTGGCCCCCTCCCACGATCCTTGCCACTAATTGTCAGTCATGGTGACAATTAAAATACATCCTCCAGTTTCTAGAACACCTCCCTAGGGGGCAGTACTCCCCCATTGAGACCACTGGTTTGGTCCAGTCACTGGTCTTGTAGCTGATATTGGCAACTACCATGTGTTGAGTGTTAGGTGTTCAACATGGGTTAATTATATCTCATTTTCACCCTAAACAATCGTAGGTATCGTTATGATGTAGTTGAGGCTGAGGCTTAGAGAGAAGGTAAGTAATTTGCCCACAATCACAGGGAAAATGGACAGTCAGGTTTGGAATGCAGGTCTGTGTCACTCTAGATCCTCCTCTCCTAGCTGTTAGGTTTACTGGCCCCTGGGGCTGAGAGAGCAGTGGCTGAGGAAGGCGAGCCCTTTGCCAGGTACTTGTGGGTGAGGTGGTTGGGAGAGCATTAGTCGGCAGGAGGAAGCAGGCCTGAGACTTGGCTGCTGGTTTTCTTTGTTTTAACCTCTTCTGTGAAGTACTGGTGAATACAAGTGAAAATGGGAACCTTTAGGAAGTGCCTTCCCACATCCTGGGCTTTGTTTACCCTGGGTGAATGGGTGAATGGATCTTTGAAGGCTGGTTCTGGGAACTGTGCCCTTGCCAGGGGTGTGTACTGTGGGGAAAGAGCCTGTGGTTGGGTGGCACCAGCTGGCATCAGCTGGCCTCCTGAGGACCTTCCTCCTTTCTGCCACAGAGGCCAGGCAGAGTGCCCGGTAACCTCACCTCCATGCCTTTGCTCTTTAAAGGAGTGCTTCTCCTTGGGGAGCCAGTCCGCTGGGAGACAAACCTGCAGCTGATCATGGATGTCCTTCTCAGCAATGGGAACCCTGGGACTGGTCTGGCGACGGCCCCTTATCCCCATCTCCCTGTCCTGGCCAGCAACATGGATCTCCTTTGGATGGCTGAAGCCAAGATGCCCAGGTAAGGACACAGAGTCCCTGGCCTTGACCGTCATGGCCACTGCCAGCTGCTGCCTGGGCAGTCCTGCTGACAGTTTCTTCCCATCATTCTGGAACTCTGGGCAGTTACAGGGGCCCCGTATTTGCCACAGAAACTTGGCCTTCTGGGAGGATTTTCAAGGGATTATTTTGCATACTAATTAGTAAATGAAAAGTATAGCTGACTGATCACTGAAAATATGTTGAGATGATCTTTAACATAGGACCTTTGCCCTCCAGAATCTTTTTTAAGATTTTATTTATTTATTTAGAGAGAAAGAGAGAGCATGAGTGGGAGGGGCAGAGAGGCAGAAGGAGAGGGAGAGAATCTCAAGCAGACTCCGCGCTGACCCGACTTGGGGTTCAATCCCGTGACCCCAAGATCATGACCTGAGCTGAAACCAAGAGTTGGATGCTCAACCAACTGAGCCCAGGTGCCCCTGCTCTCCAGAATCTTAACAGAACATGTTATTTTATTTTATTTTTTTAAAGATTTAAAAAATTTTTTTAAGTAATCTCTGCCCCCAACATGGGGCTCAAACTCACAACCCTGAGATCAGGCATTGCGTGCTCCACACATTCAGCCTGCTGGGTGCCCCCAGAATATGTTATTTTTTGTGTATAGAGCCCAAACAATGGATGACTTCGGAGGCCTAGCAGTACAGCTGCTCCTTCTTGCCTCCTCCCTGTGGCACTGGTTCCTTCCCTCTTTGTCTCCTCCTGCCCTTAAGATGTAGGGGCAGGGGAGCAATAGTTTTTCTGATGGTTAGGTAGGCTCTCTAGCCGTGGAGGGCCTTCCTGGAAGGGCAGCTGTGGCTACTGTACTGTTTGGCTGCTCTTATCTGCAGGGCCAAGGTCCAGAGTTTTCTCTCCCCGCTACTAATTCCCAGTGGGCTGTGTGAGTGATCCGTCAACAGAGGGCAGCAGGCCCAACACTGCCTCAGGTCACAAGACTCAGTAACGCCAAAGAGATGGGTGTTACGGTGTTCTCTTGTTACTTTACAACGTATATTTCTGCAGCCTGAGGTTAGAGATTTTCTCTGAAGTATTCTTTCCTACAGTTAGGGTGTGCCGACACTAGGGGAGGGGAGTTTGGCTATGTAGGCTGGAATGGAATAGCAAGGTGCAAATTTCAATTTATAAATCAGATTTAAGATTAATTTTCATTTACTAATTTAAAAATTGAAAATAGAATTCATCATATAAATAAGTGACACTGAAATACAGCCTTAATATGTTGGACAGTATCAGTTAAGATTTGGTTTAGCAGCCAGGGATGAAAACCCAAAATGAAAGTGTCTTTTTTTTTTCCTTCAAGACTTCATTTATTTATTTGTCAGAGAGAGAGCACAAGCAGGGGGAGCAGCAGAGGGAGAAGCAGGCTCCCTGCAGAGCAAGGAGCCTGATTCGGGACTCGATCCCAGGACCCTGGGATCATGACCCGAGCCAAAGGTAGACGCTTAACCGACTGCCACCCAGGCATCCCAGCCCCTGAAAGTGTCTTAAACAAGATAGAAGTTCCTTTCTCATGTAAGAGAAGAATGAGGTAGGCAGTCCAGGGCTTGTGTGAATGTCACACCTGTCTGGGACATAGGCTCCTCCTGTCTTCCTGCTGTGTGATCCTTAGCCCTTCACAGCATGGTCCCAAATGTCTGCCTAAGCTCCAGCCGCCAGACAGCAGCAAAGAGTGGGGGAAGGTCGAAAAGAGTACCTGCTCCCCAGTTATACACTTCCTAGAGGTTTAGCCCAGCACTTCTGATCTCATGGACTCTTTGGCTGTAGCTTACTCGCATGGCTGCACACCTAGCTGCAGTGGAGGCAAGGGAATACTTTTGTACACCCAGTTGCAGTATGGTGAGCTGAAAACTGGCACTGAGAAAAGGGGAGAAGGGCAACCGGTAATCTGCCACAGATTTAAAGCCAAATTTAAACTTAGGTTTGTGGAGTCTGACTGCCTGGGTTGTAATCCTAGCTCTACCACCTTGGGCAAGTTACTTAATCTCTGTATGCCTCAGTTTCCTCACTTGTAAATGAAAATGATGACAGCTCTCATGGGGTTATTCTGAGAGTTAAATGTGATATGTCACTCTAGTGTTCAACAAATGTTAGTCGATAACAGCAGGTCATAAAGATAGGTAATAGATGTAATTCTTACTAGAAGTAATTTCACTTTATCTGTCACTGACAGGGTGTTGGAGGGAAAGGTTGGTGTATAGGGTCCTGCTTAGAGCCAGAGAAAGGAGGCCTGAGCTGCTGAGCTCTCTTCTCTGGCAGGTTTGGCCACGGCATCTTTTTGCTGTGCCTGGAAACCATTTACCGGAAAGTGACAGGCAAAGAGCTGAGATACGAGGGCTTGATGGGCAAACCCAGCGTCCTCACTTACCAGTATGCAGAGGACCTGATCCGGCAGCAGGCGGAGAGGCAGGGCTGGGCGGCCCCCATCCAGAAGCTCTATGCTATTGGGTAAGTGCTATTCCATCTCCTCACCACTTCCGGACTTCCCCTGCCCTTCCTCCCTACCTACTCACCCACCTGTTTCCCGGTATCTAATACACACTAGTCCCACAATTGTCCTCTGCTCTCTTTGCTTTGTAACACTGAACTGGGGTTTTCTGTTCTTTCCTTTTCTGGTATGGCTGCCCCTGCCAGTGATAACCCTATGTCTGATGTCTACGGTGCCAACCTGTTCCACAAGTACCTGCAGATGGCGAAGCATGATGGGGCAGAGGAGCGGGGGGCCGATGGCTTGTGGAAGCGGCGGCCCTCAGCAACCCAGAGCTGTGCCTCTATCCTGGTGTGCACTGGTGTGTACAATCCCAAGGGCCCAGAGCCCACTAGGCCCACCCAGGATGCAGTGGAGGCTCCATTCCATGGGCACCGGGACTTCAGCTTCAGTCCAGGGCTCATGGAGGCGTCCCACATTGTGAATGATGTGAACGAGGCTGTACAGCTGGTTTTCCACAAGGAGGGTTGGGCTTTGTAGTGAGGGCTGTTCGTTGGAGACAAGGGAAGGAGGGACCCTGGAGCTAGCGGGGAGTCCTGTTGACTGGCTTCTGGCCCACATCACTGGGCATCAAGTCAGGGCCACTTCCTGTGACACTTTCTGTGGCCCCACGGTGGATATTACTGGTCACTTAAAAGAAGACACTGGCTTTTTCTCCTGCTGGGCAGTAGCCACAGAACTGTCCCCGGGGTAGAACAATCAGGATTTTCTGGGCTCAGTTCCTGTCTGCTTCTCCTGGCAGTCTGACCGCGGGCCAGTCCCTTTACCTCTGTGCCTCAGTTTCTTCTCTCATTTCAGTAGGGACTTCTGGAAAAAGGGGAAGTGGTGTGAAATAATGCAGAGCCTTGCCTGCAACTGAGGGCACCACTGCATGCCAGCAAGGTGCGTCACTAACACTATGATACTGCTTTTTGTTGTATTTTAGCTTATTGCCCAGAGAGTTTTAGGCTTATTTTTTTAAATTAAAATAATCGTAATAAATATTCATTATGCTGTCAATTGTGAAGCGCTTCTGGAATGTACTAAAAAGTCCTGTGGGGGAAGGATAGTGGGTGAGCAATGTGGGTGACCCTGAAGCAAAGAGATTGGTGCCATTGTGCTCCCATAATGTATTGATGTCTCCTTTCCTACCTTTTTTCTCCTTCCCACCACCAACCCACCCCTGGCCTGCAAAGCCCGAGTCTGTCTGGGAATTAGTTATGCCCAGGCTTTGGCATGTACTTGACAACAACTCTGATGTGGAAAAGAAAGGATCGTGTTTATGGTTTCTTCTGAAGGAAGGCACTTTTCCTATAGTGATCCTGGAAAGTGTGTGTTTCTTATATTCCTCCCTCTAGGAGCGACCCATTTCTATGGTCTGTGTCGTCCATGACCCCATGTTTGCCAAATCCCCTGGTCCTTGCCCTTTGTTACTCTAGCAGTCATTTGCATGTGACACAAGCTGATGACTCCCTCCCCTCTTCTCAAAACACTCTTTACTTGGCTCTATCTCACCGACTTCTTGACCCCTTTGTTTGGATGCATGCCTAGTAGTCATTCAGAGGGGAGGGAACATAGGAGATTGGGAAGGAGTGGCCACTGAAATAGGCGGGGAATCACGAGTGGGTGGGTGTCTGGTATGCTGAGTGAACATGTTTCACAAAGGAGGGAGTGATGAGCTGTGCTCACTCTCTATCAGAGCTTGACTGTGTCCAAAGCCAAACATAGCCCAACCCTACTGCTAGCACCTGGGTGGCTTGGGTCCTGCTGCTGCATACACACACTGCCCCCCCCCCCCCCCCCCCCCACTGTAGACAGTAGCACTGAAGACACTGGACTCATCCTTGTCTTCTCTTTAATCTCCTACAGCCAGTCCATCTGCATATCCTGCAGCTTTGCCTTCAGAATATACCGAGTGTGAGCACTTTCCAGGCTTCAGTGCTGCCCTGCTCCAGGCTGCTGGCTTCTCTGGCCTGCATTGTTGTGGCAGCCTCCGGTCTGACCTCCCTGACACATCTCCTCCTCCCTCTCTGTGGCTCTCCCCTCACTGCCCCAGAAGCCACATCCTAAGTTTGACCTGTTCTCTGATCAAAACCCTCCCGTGACTTCTGGTCTTACCCAGAAGAAGAGCCCACATTCCTTACTGCAGCACAGATCCCTTTCCATCCTGTTCTCCCACTTTCCCCTTCATGTCGTCCCAGCCCCGCTGGCTCCCTTGCCAGTCCACCGTACCCATTCCTGTCCCAGGACCTCTGCACTTGCAGTTCCCTCTATCCTACCTCCACTATCCATGGCTCACTCCTTCCCTTTTTTTTTTTTTCCCCTTATCACTTCTTAAATAGCTGGTGGATATGTCATCTCAAAGAGACTCCCTCAACTTCTTATAACAAGTAGTACTCCATCCCTCTTACTGCTTAATTTTTTCCATAGTCCTTATCACCCCATGATCTATATTTACATCTTTATTCTGTGTCTTCTACTAAAATACAAGCTCTGTGGACTTCGTCCATATTGATTCACTCTTGTGTTCCCACACCCATATGCCTGGCACTTGGTAAGTTTGCAGACCCTGTGAAGTCCTCCTATAGTGTCTTTGAGACAAACATGATTTTCTTTTCTTCTCCCTTGGGCATCATGGCAAAAGTGAAAAGACTGAGGGTCTTGGAGTCAGTCAGACCTGGAATCAAATCCTAGCTGTCACTCACTAGCTATATGGCCTTGGGCAATTTCCTTCACTTCGCCAGGCTTCCATTTTCTCATCTGTAAAATTGGCATTGGCAATGCGTATTTCATAAATGAACTATTTTAAGTACAGTACTGTATAATTTAGGATTTTGTTCAGCTGCTTGTTACAGAAATCTGACTACAGTGGCTTGAACAAATAGGTGGTTATTTTTCTAAGCAATAGGAAATTCAGAGTAGGCATTTCAGGCTGGGGAGGCAACTCAAGGGTGTGTCATCAAGGACTCAGGTGCTTGGCCTACCATCCTCAGCATGTGTGTTTGTCCACTTGCAAGATGGCACCATTCTACCCTTTGGCCTCTCATCCACATTTCAAGGAGGAAGGAGGAAAAGGTGAAGACAAAGCAAGTGGAGCTGGATTCCTTCATTTACTTATTTATTTACTTTTATTTATTTTTTAAAAAAGATTTATTTATTTGAGAGACAAAAAGAGCACGAGCAGGGTGCCCAGAGACTTTTAGGGGTGCAGGGGAGAGGGAGAAGCAGACTCCCTGCTAAGCAGGGAGTCTGATGCCGGGCTTGATCCCAGGATCCTGAGACCATGACCTGAGCCTAAGGCAGGTGTTTAACTGACAGAGCCACTCAGGCTCCCTGAGCTGGATTCCTTTAAAAGAACTTTTCCAGACTTTGGTTCTGTCTGGTTGACTACAGGTGGATCATACAGGCACCGGTAGCTACAAGGAGGCAGGGACAGGGTGCACTCTTGCTCAGAGAAAATAAGGGTCTGTTTTTAAGGAAGACTAGTAGAATGGATGATGGGTAGGCAAGTAAGTAGTACAACACCAGTGCCTGGGACCCAGAAGGCATTTAACTGTGAGTATTTCCTCCAAGTGCTCTGAGGAAATGGGTAAGCCCTGGCCTCTGAAGCATCTTGTCTAATAGTCATCTGAGCTGTTGCGTTGAGTAACAGTCTTGCTAGCTTACATTTGTGTATCACTTAACCTTTTCCGAAGCATTTTAAGTTAGACGTCATTCATCCTGTTTTGTTAGAGCTTCCCAAAGCCCCTAATGGGGAGAGAATTCTTATCTCAGTTTTATAAATGAAGGCACTACGGCGGAGACTATTCATCCTTTCATTTCTGAAATATCTATTGAAGATCTGCTTGGTGCCAGATACCATTCTAGGTGCCATAGCAATGACCAGTCATTGGCAACAATACCTGCCCTCAAGAAGTTCACCTTTCACTGATGATGTGTCCAAAGTCAGTTAGCAAATGGAGGGGCTGGGTTTGCAGTTCAGTCTCCTGACTGAGCCCAGTGTTTTCCCTGAGACATGCACTAGACTGTCCCCACCCTTAGTCAGCCCACTGCCCTTCTCCTCCAAACATTGCTTTATATCTCGGAGCAGCTGCTATTGTGCGTACAGCCCGTGTGAGCTCTCCTTGGGCCAAATAGGTCAAGCTTACCAAATGGAATGACAGGTGAGTGCAGAAATGATTTGGAAAATAAAACCAAGTATGACTATGTGGAGAGGAATCTTGCCAGAGTCAAGATTCCTTCGCTCCACATTGAAATGACAGAATGGCAGCATCTATCTGCCTCTTGCTCTTCCCACTGGCTGCCTGTCATTCTGGCTCTGTGGCCTCTTGTTTGGGTTTCCTAAAGATACCAAAAGCCATTCCAGACTGGGTTCTGAAGAGCAAGTGTCTGCAGTGGTACTTATGCAAATCTATATTGGAGGGCAGGGCCAGCCTCTCAGCTCCAGGGCCAATCTTGTCCCTTAGGGGCTAGGTCTAAACTGTGGAACCAAAACTCACAACCAACTGCTTCATTTGTTCAGTCCCAAGCTAAATGAAAATGTTACCTTTTTGTGTTTTGATGGAGCCAAGTGAACACAAAATAAAAAAGACTTTGTAATTCAATCTGAACAGTAAGTAGGCCCATATTTTTAATAAAATTATTAACATGGAACAAAACTGGGGCGCCTGGGTGGCTCAGTTGGTTAAGCGACTGCCTTCAGCTCAGGTCATGATCCTGGAGTCCCGGGATCGAGTCCCGCATCGGGCTCCCTGCTCGGCGGGGGGTCTGCTTCTCCCTCTGACCCTCCCCCCTCTCATGTGCTCTCTCTCATTCTCTCTCTCTCAAATAAATAAATAAAATCTTTAAAAAAAAAAAAAAAAAAAAAAAAAAACATGGAACAAAACTATACCATGGGGTGTTCACATTGAACCTTGGGTCTCTTCAGTCATTACCTTGGAACCAGAACTTAGGGGCATTTCCTTGGTGTTCCCCTTGGTGGCAGCAGCTCCCGGCCTCTTGAGGACACCTCTAGGCTGCCAGAGGCAGGTGCATCTACCAAGTTGGTAATCAGGGCTCCCAGCAGAGCTATGGTTGCCATAGCAACCGGATGCTGCCTTGAGGGTGGAATTTTAAAATATCTCAGCTATAATAGTGTTTTTTCCCCCCAGTCACTGTCACTTCCCCAGTGCTGCATGGTGCTGCTGAGGCTGGGGCCATCTTGGGACGTCTGTTTCTCTGCCTGGGGCTTTTGGCAGCTTCGGGGGTTGGAGGTGGGAGGATTGTCTCAGGGTGTGAACTGCTGGGAAGCTGACAGCTTTAGCTTTTGCTTCCAGGCTCCTCTAGCTCTTGGTTCCAAAAGCCTTCTGTCATCTTCTATTTTTTGGGAGGTTTAGAAGAGGGGTCTAGCTTGAAACTCTCTCCACCTCCTCCCACTCTGATTCGAGCATTCTGGCTTACACTCCTACCAGATCAGCCTTAGCATTTCTGGGACCTCTCTTTGGAGAGGGGAGGGGCATGTCCCTTGTCTGCTTTCTCCTTTGGTCTTTCTCACTTCCTCTTTTGGCTTCATTTATTTACTTAAAAAATGATTGTTGAGCACCTACCTACTAAACCCAAGGATAAGAAGTGAGAAACTGCCTTGGTCTTGAAAGAGCTCACTGTCTTGACTTGGCCCCTATCCAATTCCAGACATTTTTATAAACTTATTAAGACAGTATTCTGTTGGCAGAGGGATATGAACCAATGGGACAGAATAGCATGCAGAAACACATATGTGATAAGTGTCTATCAATGGATGAATCGATAAATTGTGTATCTATACACACACATAATGTATACATTTACATATATACAATGGAATATTCAGCTATAAAAAGAAGGAAATCTTGCATTTACAGTAACATGGATGGGCCTTGAGGGCATTATGCTAAGTGAAGTAAGTTATAGAAAGATACTGTCTGATCTCACTTGTATGTGGAATCTAAACAACCAAAAAAAAAAAAAAAAAAAAACCAAAAAACCAAACACCCAGGGCTCACAGTCTAGAGAAGAGATTGGTGGTTGTCAGAGGTGGGGGTTGGGAGTAGACAAAATGGGTGAAGGGGGCCAAAAGATACAAGCTTCCAGTTAGAAAATTAGTAAGTCATAGGATATAATGTACAACATAGTGACTGTATTTAATAATACTGTATTAAACGGGGACCTAGGTGGTGCAGTCTGTTGGGCAGCCAACTCTTGGTTTTGGCTTGGGTCATGATCTCAGGGTCGTGAGATCGAACCCCACATTGGGCTCTGTGCTCGCTCCCTCCTGCTCATGCTCTCTCTATCAAAATAAATAAATCTTTAAAAAAATAATACTGTAGGGCGCCTGGGTGGTTCAGTTGGTTAAGCAACTGCCTTCGGCTCAGGTCATGATCCTGGAGTCCCGGGATCGAGTCCCGCATCGGGCTTCCTGCTCGGCAGGGAGTCTGCTTCTCCCTCTGACCCTCCCCCCTCTCATGTACTCTCTCTCATTCTCGCTCTCTCAAATAAATAAATCTTTAAAAATAAATAAATAAATA